CTCCTCCGTCCAGCTCATACTGGGAGGGAGAGGTGGCCGGGCGGTGGGATCCTCCGGCCACATTTCGCTCCCTCCTCCCGTGGGACCCCAAGTTCAGGAGGGTTTCCCCTCCCTGCCCGGAGCTCTCGGCGCACCCCTCTCCAGCCCGCGATTTCCGCCTCCCAATGCCTCCACTTGTGATTCGCCGGGTAACTCCCACGGCGGCTGCAAGCAAACTTCCACGCGCCCCCCGCGCGTCCCGGAGCCCGCCTGGGGCTCCCCGCGCGCCGGGGAGGGGCCGGGGTCTCGGGGGGGGGTGTAGTTGGAATGGGGTTCTGCCCATGAGGTCTATGGGTAAGAAATAGAAGCAAGTGGGAGAGTTGAAAAGAGGGGCTGACTGAGCACACTCTTGTCTTGGACTCAGCAGTTTTGTGTGTATGGCTTGCCTTTAAACCCGACTAGAAGCAACCTAAGAATGAAGACTTGAAGTGCATAGAGCAGAGCGCCTTGCATGTAGTTAGAGCTCAAGAAATATCTACTGTCTGATTAATTGGAGGGAAATGTTGAAAGGGGTGATCCGCCCCCGCCCCTGCTTCCCGACCATGCGGTGGGGGCGTGGCCCGGGAGCTGATGCCCCGCCCACATACACAGACACATACCCGGAAGCCCTGGTCTGATGCCGGTTTACCCCCAGGACCCGCACTCACCACGTTCCCTCCTCAGGCAGCTGCGCTTTAGAGAAGTTCCCTTCCGTCTCTAAGCAGCGAGTGCAATGATCGCCAAGAAGTGGTGTAAAAAGAAAAGTGGCCTAGACCCCGCGCAGGGTGCATTTACGCTACTGTTAGTATAAAGCAAAGAAAAAAGAGGGAGGGAGTATTCATTCACCTGTGTTCAAATATGCCCGTGGTTCCTAAGGAGGGGGCGATTGTGCCCTTCGCCCCGCATCCCCGGGGACACTCGGCAATGTCGGAAGGCATTTTTGGTTGTCATTATTGGGAGGGGGGTTGTCATGCTGGCATCCAGTGGATAGAGGCCTGGGACGCTGCTGAATGTCCTCCGAGGAACAGGACGATAAACAGTGCCTGCCCTGCTCAAGGTGCTGGGCCCGACAAAATGGAATTCCTGCCTTCATGGAGCCGGTTGTTACAGTCTCCAGTCGATAGAACAATGTTGTATAGTGTTTATTGTGCACATATTAGAGGTCTTGTATGACTAATCGCATGGGAGCCCTGCTGAGTGTTTTGTAATGTCCCTTGGTGGGTGGAGGAATAGCGATCAAGAAGTCTTGAATGAGGCATTTCCTGGGCACCCTGTGCTGGGCATGGGAGTCAGCAGGTCACAGGAGGACTCGGGCCCTGTGTCCAGGTGGGGGAAGCTGACCCTCCAATAAGCATTGGGGAGCTGGGAACAGGGGGTGCGAACCTGGTCCAGGACGGGAGGGTCAGGGTTGTTGATACTGTGTCGTTACACTGAGGCCTGAAACAGAGACGCGGGTTCATGGAAGAGTGTGCCAGGCACAGGGACCCACAGGTGCAAAGGTTCTTCTAGGGGCTTTGCATAAACTGAAGAGTGGTCAGGATGTGGGGGGATGGGGGAGAGGAGGTCAGAGGAGTCTGCCGGGGTTGGTGCAATGGACAGACACACAACCACCAAGCTATGGCTTCCTGTTTCAATAAGCTTCGCCTGGCTCCACCCCAAGCACTCTGACCTCCGTGCCTTTGCTCGTGGTGCTGCAGGGGCGCCAGGCACAGTTGTGCAAGCTGGGCACAGACAGCACAGGGTGTCCCATGCACGCTGTAGACATTATAGATTTATACCAATCGTTTCTGGGCAGGTGGCGGTCAACGGTCTTGAGGAAAAGGCATCTTTTTAATCATTAGCAGGAACCCAGCTGTTTGCTCTGCCTGGAATGTCCTCCCCCTCCCCTTCTCCCTTCTCCATTAAACAAGCTCCTGCTCCATCCTTTAAGGCCTCCCTCACCCATCCCCTCCTCCAGGAAGATAACCATGGCAACACCTCCCCAGGCTTCCTGCAGGGATTAAAGGTTAATGCGATCAATCAACGATAACTGACGATACGGGAGTCAATATTGCCTGGTGCCCATTTCCAAAAAAGCGAGGCCTGGAGCATTTGCAGTAGGTGGAATTTGGACCCCAGGATTAAAGAACACTGAAGCAGATACAAGAAAATAATGCTCTTTTCGGTCTTCTTCGATAAAACCAGGGAGAAAAAAATCTGTTTGGTGCCAGCGTGTCTTTCTTACCTCTGACACTTGTCACTCACCCTGTCCAAAAGCAGATGGCAGGTTCCCAGCCTCCCGCAGGCCGTGGTGTCTGCTGAGAATTCTCTACCTGGCCTTCTTTCAGTTGTCTTTATTTATGAAATTGCTTTCTATCTATGGCATATGATGCTGATTTTCCACTTCCCGTGGCGTTGCAAAGTCTTATTTACAAATCAATGCATTTGAGCGCAAAATAGTAAGTCTATTTAAACGAAAATAGTAAGTAAATAACAAAGCAGGTGGTACGTATAGAGTGAAAAAAAAATCATGAGGCTGGTGTGTGAAGGAATAGAGTTTGCAAACACAGATATGTTTGGGAGCTCAGCTCTGGAGCCAGACTGGGTTCAGTTCTCCACTCACTAGCTGTGTGGCCTGGGGCAGGTTGCTTTCCCTCTCTGAGCCTCCATTTCCTGACTTGTTAAACGGGAGTAATTATAATACTGGCCTCCTAGAGTAGTTCAAAAGTGATGCCAAGAGAACGTGAGTGGAGAGCTTTGCAGTGCTTGCTGTTTCTATGATGAAGACCGAGAAAGTCACAAGCCAGCAGTGATGGGGGACCTTGAGACACACACCTGTTCGCAGACCCAGCAGACATTTTGGCTTTAGGAACTTTAATTTGCACGAGAAAGATGGAGAGCTGGAGCCTGAGGAACGGGTGAGAGGAGGAATCAAAAACGGAGTGTGGACTCACTTGGGGAGCTCCACCGCCAGATTAGCGAAGCAGCCCTCGCGATGCCACTGCCTGTCCCGAAGGCAGCGCACGGCCTGCATCTAAGGCTGGAAGGCTCCCCATTCATTCCAGTGCCAGAAGTCACCAGGCTCCAGGAGGTACTGGTCCCCGCGGTAGCCTGGGTACTGATACCCTACCCAGCTGAGAGGAAAGCAAGAAGGAAAGTGTAGACATGGCAGCCTCACTGCCAGCATCCAGCCCCCTGGCTGGACCAGCCAGGCCTCCATGTGTCCTTGCAGTCTCCTCTAGTGTCCTTGCACGCTAGAGAGGGGGGAGGGTCACCTTGCAAAGTCTAGTTTAAGTTCTCGCCTCCTCAGATCTCTCCTCCCCTCCAGCACACGCCCCCAGAAGCACTCCTTCCTCCTCTGACCTCCCGTCTGGACCACCTCTGAGTTAGTATTGTTGGACAGCATCTCCCAGACATACTAAGTCTCCCCGCTAGGCTGAGCGAGCCCCCTGAAGACAGGCACCGCGACTTCCTAACCTCTGCCTCCCCACTGTGCCCAGCACCGCGCCTGGCTCCCCGGCACTGCCTGGTACATTTCTGATGGCTTAAATGCAAGATGCAGGCTTCAGGGAAGAAGAAAGGAACAAGGAAAAAAGGCCAGGGCCCCGATGGCATTACAGGAGCTCAGCGAGAGCTTGTGGTGGAGAGGTAGAAGCCTTACATTTGCCTGGAGGAGACGAGTGATGTCTGACTTGGTTGTTTGCGGACAAGAGATGGATAAAATGACCCGCTTTGGGCATCCAGCCCTCCCCTGTTTTGTTTTTTTCCAGACATGGGACCACGGGGCTCAGTTTTGAACATTTCAAATCCTGGGAGTTCCGAGCAGAAAGAGCCTTTTTTATATCTGGGAGTTTAGTGTACCCATTGTAGAGATAGCAACACTGAGATGCAGAGAGGGGTAGGGGGCTCACCGAAGTTTCACAGCATATCAGCGACAGTCAAGGCCCTTTTATGACACAATCTCGTCTCTCAGAAGCCATTCTGCTCATTTCCCAGAGGCTCCAGATTTCTCTGAATATTCTCTTCCCTAGACCCAACCAGACTCATCTATCTGCATCAACTCTGCCCCCCTTACTTAATCATTCTTTCAATCCCAATAGGGGTGTAGAAGCCCCTATTCTCTCATTTTCCAGCTTTTTAGGCCCAATTGTCAGGTTTGTTTACACTGACATGTCATTCATCAAAGAATGACTCCGTTTTGCAGAGGAAGAGAGCTCAGTGGGTGGAATTCCAGCCACCAGCCCTGCAAGAACTGGGGAGGGGCTGTGGTCATTCCTCTGCATCTGATGTTAGATCCTTTAAGGGGCACAGACTCCACAGGCTGAGGGCCTGGCGGGAGGACACTTACGTTCCACTGGACACCCTCGCACTGCCCACGCGGCCACGGAAGCCATGGACCCAGAGACGGGGCACGTTGTCCTCCTGGATCTCCACGGTGTTGCCCTTGAAGTTGGCTCCTTCCAACAGGCCGATCTTGTGCTCCTGGGAGTCCTGGGGAAGGAGAGACGGAGTCAGGCATGGGAAGTATGAACAAAGCAAAGAGAAGTGATGCCCCTGTGAAAACAGGCTATCGGCCTCTCCTTCCTGGAGCTGTCGTGAGGATCTAATGAGTTAATCCATAGAGAGCACTTAGCACGATGCCTAGCATACACTCAAAAATTTTCATTCATTGCTTTTAGGATGCAGAGGCTCAGAGAGGTTGGTCCTTGATTAATGTCACACAGCCAGTGAGGGGCAGAGCCTTTCAAAGAAGCATTTTATTTCTCCCATCCCATTTGGCACCCCGCTCCCCTCCACAGCCTCTGCCCTAGCCACACTGGCCAATTTTTAAAAAATATTTTTTTTTATTGATTTCAGAGAGGAAGGGAGAGGAAGAGGGAGAGAAAAACATCAACAATGAGAGAGAATCATTCATCAGCTGCCTTCTGCACGCCCCCTACTGGGGATTGAGCCGGCAACCTGGGCATGTGCCCTTGACCGGAATCGAACCCGGGACCCTTCAGTCCCCAGGCTGATGCTCTATCCACTGAGCCAAACCAGGTAGGGCTGGCCAATTTTTGGTTCCTTGTTGACACCCCGTCTTCCTCACTTCAGGGTCTTGGCACTCACTGTACCCTGGAAGGCTGCTCCACCACCCTTCACATGGCTGCCTCAGTTCCCATCCTCCGGGAGCTGTCTTTCCTGATCACCCCTGACCACTCCTTCCCCCCCCCCCCCCCCCACATCAGAGCCCCAGCTCCTGTCTTCCGCTCTCCTAGCACACTGCACGCTCCCTGTGCAGCACGGACCACAGCGGTTTGCCAGAATAGATTGATTTCCATGATTAGGTTTCAATAACTGCCTCCTACAAGGTCAGGGGCCTTGCCTGTCCTGTGCAGAGCTGCACCCAGAGCTTACCACAGAGCCTAGCAGAAACAGATCAAAGCATAGTGTTCAAAGCATGAGTCTTGGAAGATGGTTGGGTTAGAAACCCGTCTAACTGCCCAGGGGAGGAGGCTGAAAAGGCATGGGGGAACCCAGCGGGGAGGGAGCTGGAGCTGTCCGGGGGTGAAATAAAGGTGGCCCACAGCGAGATGGAGGCAGAGAGAGGGGACAGATGAAACCAGAGCCGAGGCCCTGAGCCCTGGCTGCACAGTCTCCCTGGGGGCGTGAATCACACAGTCTGCGCCCAGCTCCAGAGGCTCATCTATCATTGCTCTGGGGAGGGGTCCAGGCATTGGGATTTTTTCCCAATAATATATTTGATTTAAGGAAATACACCCGCAAGATTATCATCTCAATTTGTAACCAAGATAACGATATGAGTGAGGTAGTTTACATTCTTATTTTGCCCTTTTTTAAAAACGATGTATTCAAAATCTGGTGTGTAATGTTGCTACACTCACAGCACATGTCCAGACGGACTAGCCCAAATTCAAGTTCCACAGCCACATGTGGCTACTGCATTGAAAAGCAAAGTTGGAGAAGCTGCCGGAAATGCCCAGGCTGATGGCTCTTCCAACAAGCTCCATGGACATGGATTACCATTCTACCTGCAATGATAGAAAGATAAATCTATGAATCCTTTCAAAGGGCCCATTATAAAGGCTGATCGCTCGGCCTCAAATTCTGAGAAAAACATTGGGAATGGCCTGGTTGGATCATCCTATGAAGATACATCGGGTGGCGCCCAAACCGCCGACTGTTGGTATCTGCTAGCCTCAAGTGGACATGCACGAAAATTCTTCCGGAAAATTCCCATCCAGGAAGGCCAAGGTTGGTTACCATGGGAATCTGACCCTGGCGAGTGAAGATGGGGTTGGTTCATGAGTCCTAGTGAACACACTTTGGGGAAACGGAATTGCTAAGGGATAACTCCGCCTGTCTTGGCTTTGAGTCTTCTGGAAGGCATACTCCTTGGTCTACTGTACAAAGGGGCTGAGTCAGCAGATTGTCTTATCGTTGGGAAGCTCCGGGGGTCTTTCCACAACACCCCTCTTCTCAGACATGCACAGGTTCCAACCCGCATGGTAGATGCTTTGAATGGACACTGGGATTGTCTTTTCTGTCTCTCCCTTCTCAGGCGCCATGCTAATCATCTCTGTCGTTCCAGTTTTAGTGTATGTGCTGCCGAAGCGAGCACCACACTGGGATTTTCAAAGCTCCCCGGGAGGGTCTGCTGTGCAGCCAGGAATTAGAAACATTCTGCCAAAACCGGTTTGGCTCAGTGGATAGAGCGTCGGCTTGCGGACTGAAAGGTCCCAGGTTTGATTCCGGTCAAGGGCATGTACCTGGGTTGCAGGCACATCCCCAGTAGGGGCTGTGCAGGAGGCAGCTGGTCGATGTTTCTCTCTCATCAATGTTTCTAACTCTCTATCTCTCTCCCTTCCTCTCTGTAAAAAATCAATAAAATATATTTAAAAAAAAAAAAGAAACATTCTGCAGATAGAATCTGGGAAGGCGCTGGGGTTTCTAGCTCCAACCACTGGGATGTGGAGTCCATTCTTTTTTTCTTTTTCTTTTCTTTTCTTTTTTAAAAATATATTTGTATTGATTTCAGAGAGGAAGGGAGAGGGAGAGAAATAGAAACATCAATGATGAGAGGGAATCATTTGATCGGCTGCCTCCTGCACGCCCCCTACTGGTGATCGAGCCTGCAACCCAGCCATGTGCCCTTGACCGGAATCAAACCTGGGACCCTTCAGTCTGCAGGTTGACGCTCTATCCACTGAGCCACACCAGCTAGGGCTGGAGTCCATGCTTGATAACAGCAGGGAAGGAAATAGATGGGTTTGATGTTTCGCATGTGCTCAGGGCTCCCACCGGGAGCTGGACACATCAGAGACACCTTATGAATCGGTGAGAACAAGAGCCACTATTCTTGGACGACTCCGAGGTCGCCCCGCTTCCCTGTCCGCCATTCCCTCCGTTTTTTCCTTGCTCACCCTCATTTCCTCGAACGCTATCAGGTCTTGAACTCGCCCCGGCCCTCCCCATGGATCCCCCCCGGCCCCACCCAGGAGCCACTCACCATCCTGACGGGTTGGAAGGACATGAGCCGATCGCTGCGGTAGCTGGTGGACCGGGTGTCCCAGCGCGGGTACTGGCCCTTCTCCAGGATGAACATCTCCCCTTGGAAGTCAGATGCTCAAAGGCGACCCAGCTGGATGGGAGGGAGAAGGGGAGGCAGCAAGGAGAGGCATTGTTAGCAGAGCCCCTCCCCCCGCTTGCAAGGCAGCCCCAAGGCCAGTGGTTTCATTCTGGTCTCTGCCACTTACTGGCTGTGTGACCACAGGTAAGGGACTCCACCTCTCTGAGCTTTCGTTTTCTCATCGAATACACCTGTTTTCCTGGAGCTGGTGAGGGCTTAAATGAGACAATGTGTGTGATGACGTGAGCAAAAATTCCTCCAGATGCAGGATTCACATCTGATTTAAGGGCTAAGCATAGAACAACACAGAACAAGGCACGTTCTTTGAAACCTGATAACAGCTCGGAGGAAGTCTCTGTTGGGTGTCCATGTGCCTTGAACACGAATCTCTTCTTGTAACAAAGGAAGAACAGGCCACCAGCGTGGAGCCTTGAGCAGGCCACGGTACAATGCTCTGCTCTGTGCTCGCTGGGTTAATTTTTTATGGATACATTTCAGCAAGTGATACCAGCTTCCCATCTGCCAAAGTGAGGCGGAGGTTCTTTGAAAATATATTTATTTCAGCTGAAAGGGTCATTCACAATGAAATATATAAAATAAAAGTTGTCCTCCGGGCAAGGGGGGCATGGATCCAGGGGACTGATCATACGTTTGGGAAAGACTGGCCTGGCCTACGGAAGACGCTCCGTGATGGGAATGTGGGCCGTAGGAGGGAAATGATAATATTGCCCACCTCTCAGGGACCTGTGAGAATTAAACTTGAATGTACATATGAAGGCGTTCAGTCCTCAATGAGGACTAAGGAACCACAAGCCTGAAGTCAAGTGGGGACTTTGCTGCCTGCCCCCTACAGCCTGATGAAGGATGGGAAGTGAGGTTGTGTTAGAAGGACTAGGGTTTCTGGGGGGGCGGGGGGATGGGATGATCCCCATTTTGTTGGTGAGAAGACTGAGGCTGAGGGACCCCTTGACCTTTGCTCTAGATGAGTGTTATCAGGAACAAAGGGGGCACTGGCATTCATGGCATCTCCCTGGGGGCTGCTGGGACCTTCCTCTACCCAGAAGGAGATGGGGAGGTGGGGTGGAGCTGGGCCACCACCATGGACTGGATCAGAACGTGTCCCAGGAGCCTCAGGGCTTGTCTGAGGGATGAGCCAACCTATAAGGGAGTGACTGGTCTGGAGTAGATAAGGATGGATGGATGGATGGATGGATGGATGGATGGATGGATGAATTGATGGATGGATGGATGGATGAATTGGTGGATGGATAGATGAATTGATGGATGGATGGATGGATGGATGGATGGATGGATGGATGAATGAACTGGTGGGTGGATGGATGGATGAATTGGTGGATGGATAGATGAATTGATGGATGGATGGATGGATGGATGGATGGATGGACTGTAGGATAGAGGGATGGATGAATTGATGGTTGAAATTGATGGTAAATGAATGAATGGATAAGTGGGTAGGTGGTGGATAAATAGATGGGTAGATGGCTGGATCTATGGATGAGGGTATTGATGGCTGGCTGAATGATGGAGAATGGATGGATGGAAGGTGGGGTAAGCAGATGGATGAATACATAGATGGAGGATAAATGGATGGAGATGGATGGACGGATGGGTGGGTGGAAAAGGGGTCCTTGGAAGGTGGTGCCAAGTAGGAGTTAAGAGTATAAACTCTGGAAACAGAGAGACCTGAGCTCTAATCCCAGCTCCTCCTTTCTTTTCTGCTCGTGAAGCCTCAGTAAGAGAGGAAATGACTGCATCTGCCTTGTCAGGATGTTATGAGGGTCTAAAAAAGGAACGCCCAGGACACAGGAGGCACCGTAAATAATAGATGTTATAATTGAAGGGGGGGCTGCTGGGGGGCCGAGCTGAGGGAAAGGCAGACACTGATGTGGCCTGGCCACGCTGCCCCTCACCCTCCAAACCCCCTCTCATCTTCCGAATGCCCAGGGGGGACCTATTACTGGAGTGAGGCGTTTTAAATGTGTATCTCAGTGCTTTTCTCATCTCCCGTGGCTCATTGGAGCCTTAGGGGCAAGGAGAGAGGCAGGGGGAGGCTCAGAGGGGTCAGGTCCCCTGTTTAAGGTCACAGGATGGGGTTAGGTGGCAGGTTGAAGTCACCTGAGCTTCAGGCAGGCACGTCCCTGTGCTGGGCCACACCTCCCCTCTCCTTCCCCTGCCACCTCGTCCTCTCCATCCTTTCCCCACCATCATTTCCCCCACATCCTGCTGGTCCTGACACAGACCAAGGGCCCTGGGCCACAGTTCTTATCCCTCCCCATCAGGCACAGCCCCAGGACACACACCGAAGACCAGACCGGAATTCCCGCTGCATCTTTGTTTGAGGAGAAATACTTTGGGTTTGAGTCACTGGCACCGAAAAAAGCCTAAAACCCCCAGCTGGGCACATCCGGCAGCTTCTGCTCCCAGCTGGGCTTTGGGATGGGGTGGGGCTGAGGCTGTGCTGACCACACTGCTGGTGGGGGTGGTGCAGGGCATAGAAAGCCCATACCGTCCACTGGGGTGACTCAGCTAAACTCGCAGGACGATGAGGAAGGCTAATTAATAATCATCACCGTCCCCTGCTATGTTTGGGCGCCCACCAGGTGCCAGACCCAAGCCGCATCATCTCCTTCAGGGCTCAGAATAGCACAGCGGAGAGTAGTGGGGACTGTTAATCTCCCCATTTCAGAGATGAGAACACTGAGGCTTGGAGCTTGAACAAGGTCTGGGGGAGCTGGGGCTCGAACCCAGGCCTGTCTGAGCTCAAAGCCCATCTCTGCTCTTTGTACTGCCCAGAGCCCCAAGATGCTGGGCATACAGGCTGACCCTACCCCCTAGGGGTTGGCTTTCGGGCTGGGAAGACAAGCAGCGAGCGAAGGTCATGTGCCCTGACTCCAGTCCACATGGGTTGGTGCTGGTGCAGCCACTATGTCCTAGGGACAAGTCTTCCTGCTTCATATGGGGGGGTCATTATGGCCCAGAGAAGCCCAGAGAGTCAGGGCAGGCCATGGAGCAGGGGATACAAAGCATGTGGATGAAATTGATCAACTAGAGTTGACCCCACGCTCTGCCACTTGCCAGTAGGTAACTTTGGCCGAGGGACTTACTCCTTCTGAGCCTCAGTTTACCCATCTGTCAAATGGGCACAAGAATAGTCTCTCCCTCATATAGCATTGTAGGATCACCTAGGTGAAGCCCTTAGTCTGTGCCTGGCACCTAGGGGGTGCCCAGTAGGTACAATTATTCTATAGCTGCTTGATGCCAGGAGGGGAGACAGCTGGTAGACACTGGCTCTTTGGTCTCCTACCCTCAGGGGCGGGCAGGCTCCCTCTGTAGTAGAAGCAGCCTTTCTCTGGAGCCCAGAATCATGACTGGCTGTCGGTGTGACGTTATGATAATCCTATCACCTCTCTGAGCCTCCGTTTCCTCATCTGTAAAATGGGTTGGCAATGAGGACTAGGAATACTGGATGTGTCTTGCTAGCCTGCTGGCAGGCGCAGAGCAGGTGCTCAAGATGTGGCAGCTACAAGAGTGTCCCTCCCCTGCTTGCCACTCACGGTCCAGAGGTGACGATGAGGCTGCTCACTCGGTCGAAGCCGCGGTCTCCCAGGTTCAAGCACTGCCCGGAGAATTCCACCCAGTGACCCTGGAAGTTCTCCTGCTCAAAGACCCCCAGCTGGAGGAGAGAAGCCCCCAGCCCGGGGCAGGGGTGGGGTGGGGCCGAGTGAGTGGGGAGGAGAGTCATGAAGTCCCCATAGACGTGGAAACAGGCCCCGAGCAGGTCTCGTGAGAGTGTGGCCGGAGCCCAGGTCTGTGAAATGACTCGGCCGTCCCTCCTCCCACTGCCGTTAGCAGCTGAGGATCCTCCTTCAAAGCCTTTATCTGTGCTGTCCCTTCCGCCTGGAACGCCCTCTCCACCACACACCCCCATCCCGGAGCTCACGTCCCCTGTCCTGTTTCAGGCTCAGACATTACCTCCTCCTCTGGGAAGCCTTCCTGGATGCCCTCCCCTTCGGTGGGCTTGGCTAGGTGCCCCCTCACTGTGCTCCCTCCATCAGCGGTACCAGGAACACACGATACAATGACACTGCTTCCCGCGTCTCTCTCTATGCACCGTCTCCCTCTTTCCTCAACCACCCCCCCCCCAAAGTCCAAGGGCATCTCCAGGGCAAGATGTGGTTGGTCCATTTCTGTATCTCCAGCTCCAGCCGGCACCTGCCACAGAGCTGATGCCCAGGAAACACAGGCCCGTCTCCCTGGCACAACGTAGCGGGGGCCCTGGAAGCGGGCCCCCCACCATGTGAACATCGGCGCCTCCCCTCCCCTCACTCAGCCCCCAGTTTTGTTTATTATCCTCTTGTTGCCCCAAGTGGGCCATTCCCTTGAACGCAGACAAATGTCTTTTTTCTCGGAGCCTCAGTTTCCCCGGTTGTAAAGGGAGGAGGCTCTCGTACCCTTGACTTAGCACCTGTCCACCCGAGAGAAACTCCCGCGGCAGGATACCCAGATAAGAACATCCTGTCCATGCTGCTTCCCGGAGGAGAGCTAGCAGCCACCCGGATGGTCCCCGGGAGTGGCAGCCACACTGAATTACACCCGGCGGCCAAACCAACAGCCGCAGCAACGTACAGCCACACGGACGGCTGTACAGGAACCTCAGAGTGAGCGCGAAGCAGAGAGAAAACCCCAGAATGAACACGTACGGCCTATTTCTGTAAGTGACCGGCACATAACCATCAACAAATGTTTTAAAGGCATAACGCCTCAAAATACACCAAGAAGCGAGCAAGCACAGGACGGACAGGGACCTGAGGAGGGCAGGAGGGCAGTGAGCCGGCTCCCGGGGGACATGGCAGAATTAGCGGATGTTTACCAGGTCCCGGCTCTCAAGACGGGTGGTGGGTGTGTAGGTGTGTGTGTTTAAAAATGAAATAAAAATGTACGGCTTGGTAAGTCACTGCGGTAAAAGCCGGCCGTGCGCAGACCACATGAGAGGGTGGCATGGACCACGCACCAAGGTGGTGAACCCGTTCTGTGCACCTGACATCGAAACCAAACCCGACCAACCCCCAGGGGACCGGTGCCTGCCCGGCTGCCTGGGACCCTTTTCAGGAGGGTCTGAGGCCGTCCCGTGGCCCTAGAGAACCTCCGGGGACAGGGGTTCCCGCTGCTGGGCCAGTCCACCTGTCCCCTTGTTTCGTTTCTTGCTTTCACCAACGCTAGACACGTGCTTGGGGAGGTCAGAGACTGGCAGGAGGAGGGGAGGAGGTGGGGGTGGGCGTTAGAAGCACGGGGTGGAGACCAGAAACCCCAGACGCCCCAGCCCCAGGTCCTTACCTGGTAGCTCCCAGGGGCCAGGGGCCCCACTTTGACGGTGGGCATGGGCACGGATGCTGGGGCCAGGGCGGGGCCCCCTTCCCCTTGCTGTCGGGCACTGGGTTCCCCGCAGCTGCTATGGAGGCACAGGCCAGCTGAGACATGGCTCCCACCTGCAAACGCCTGTAAAGAAACCTCTGGCCTTGGTGAATGCCGGGCGGGCACCCCCAAGCCGCCTCCCCAGTCTCCTACCCCCACCCCCATGTTTTCAGGCTGCTTTCAAGTCATTTCTGCCTTTTCTCTTTCTAAAACGTGAGCCTGGACGGGTTCTGCCCTGACCTCCCGCCCCAGGCAAGGCTGTCCTGACTGGGCACCTCGCACCCCTGCTATGCCTCCTCCAGGCCGCAAACGGGGCCGGCCCCTCCACCAGCTGTGCCCTTCCTTCTACCCTGGTCTCCTCGGCACCTGTGGGTTTTCGCACGTATCACACTTCTTGGCGTGTGCAGCTTCAAGCTGCCTCACCAGGTGAATAACAGGAAGCCACACTGGGGAGGCCTGCAGCTCTGCCAGGCTCTGCGTATGTGGTAATGAGCTCATCTGTTCTTCCCCCTCCCTCCCCGCTCCCCCGTCCCCCAGAGGAAAGGGGACCGGCCCAAGCCCACACAGCCGCAACATGGTGGGCCTCCCGTTTGGGCTCAAGCACATGGATCCAGCAACAGGGTTACGAAATGCCGTTTTCTTAATCTAATTTATTCTCCCCTCCGTCCCCAGCACGCGGCTTAGCCCTGGCCGGCGCAAGGTTCTCTTCGAACATCTGTTCAGAGAATGGTTCCTGCCTCCCTTCCCAGGCAAACTGCGGCCTCAGGCATTCTCTGGGAATGAGTGTGTGGGTGCAGGCTCGGGGCCTGGGACTGGGGAAGAGGGAGGCTCCTAGAGGGTGTCTTTAGTGCCTGCGGGGTTCTAAAAGGAGGCTTGTGGTGCGGAGGCGGTGGGTGGAGAGCGCTCTGGTCAATTGCAGTGGTTCCTTGCTGTTTTAGGGTCATGAGTTTTGACAAATGCCTTGTCCTTGTCCCCAGGGGGCGGGGGAGGGGGGAGAGCGCCCCCCTTTAATTTTAGAGACAATGTCCAGGGATTTGAGGACTTCCTGACAACATAGATTGGGATCTTGGGGTCCAGTGAGTTGCAGACCGCCCCTACCCCACCCCACGCCTCTCTGGGGTACGCTGCCCACCGTGGGCAGGCCAGACATCTGGGCCACATCTGTGGCTTCCAGGCTCCGGCCTGCTCCCCTGTGTCATCTGTGAATCAACAGTGCCCGGGCTGGGAGTTGGACTCATCCCTCCCTGGAGATACATTCTTGTCCATTTCCTACCTCACTGTCCCCGGGTCCCTCCCCTCTGGGTTCTTGCTTCCTTTGTGTCTGTGCCTAGCCCTCTGTTCTCTATGACTGCATTTTCTTCTCTCTCTTCTCCTCCCTCCTGCTCTCCCCTTCCCTTAATTGCTCTCTCTCTCTCTCTCTCTCTCTCTCTCTCTCTCTCTCTCTTCTAGGACTGCTCTCTCTGCCTCCTTCCCTCTCCGCCTCCTCTCTCTGCTCCCCTCCCCTTCAGCTCTCAGCAGGGGGGTGGGTTCCCTCTTATCTGGGGACCTGCTACCTCCTGCTGCAGGACAGGCAGCTGGGTGGTGGGTGCTGCGGGCCCCTCGGGGCAGACCCCCATTCTATAGCCTGGCAGACAGCGGGCCTATGGTCTGGGGCACAAAGAGGGAGCTGGCTCAGCAGGCCCGGGGCACTGAGCTGGGGCCCAAGGCTGCAACCTCGCTGGGGTGACTGCGGAGAGAAGCACTTTCCATTGTGAGCCCAGCAGGGGGCAGAACCCCGATCAGCAGGGGTGTCACCTGGTCCTATACTGATGCCCCGCCCGGTGGGCCCCCGCTGGCTGCCAATCCTCAGGCAGGGAAAAGGGGAGCCCCTGGAAGGTGGGAGACCAGGACCTGAATCCTGGCTCAGCCACGGGGTGCCCTGTGGCTTTCAGCGGGTCTCTGGTCTCTGGACCCTCTGTGACCACAGTGACAAGCAGGCGCAGTGTCCCTGCTGGATGCTGAACGGGAAAGAAGGTGATGATGACACAGGGGATGGGAGATGCCTTGTAAGGCGGATACGGGTACAGGAGCCACAGCCCCCTCACTGAGTGCTGGCTGGGTGCTAAGCGCAGCCCCAAATGCCTTTCCCCGTGCCATCTTGGTCAACGCTCAGGATACCGCACCTTACTTGGTACTTTCATTATACCCATTTCACAGCTGAGCAAGGTGAGGGCACAGAGAGGGCAGAGCCAGAAAGTGGCCCAGGCAGGGGGCCTGCAGGCTTCATTCTCATGATGTCTGACTTGGGCCCTGGTTTGATTTCCTGCTTCTAGACAGAGGGCGATTGGGGCGGGGGGAGTGGTCCCTGTGCTCAGTGGGTTGAATATTTATTTATTTTCTAAAAATATGTTTTTATTGATTTTAGAGAGAGAGGAAGGGAGAGGGATAGAGAGATGGAAACATCGATGAGAGAGAGACATCTATTGGCTGCCTCTTATACACCCTCTACCGGGGGTCGAGTCTGAAACCCAGCCATGTGCCCTGACCGGGAATTGAACCAGTGACCTCTTGGTTCATGGGTCGATGCTCAACCCACTGAGCCACACCAGCCGGACAGTGGGATGAATAATTAAAGCCCGAGTCCTGTTCCTCAGCTCACACAGACCCCAGGTCCCTCCCCCCACTTTTTCCTGATCTGCCTGTAGACTCTCTCTCCCCCACATTTGGCTCCAGGGACAGAGCCGGCGGCCAGGAATCTGCCTGCCCATCAGGGAGCTTCCTTGGGGAGACCTCAGCTCCACCACACCGTGCTCACCCCTGGACCCCAGCACCCAGCACAGGGCCTGGCACAGGGTGGGTCTTTGATCTCTTTGGAGGGGGGACTAAATGGTCCCAGTGGATCATAATGGAAAGTGGGGTACAGGGGGAGATAGGGAAACTGAGATGGGGAGAAGGAAGGGGGACACTGATTGGAAGAAGTGGAGAAGGACAGAGAAAGATGCTGGAGACAGAAATACAGCAGGCAGGGAGGTAAAAAAGAGGGCAGATAGTGAAGGAGAAAGAGAGGGGTAGAGACAGGGTCAGGACAATGGGACAGTTACCAGAAGTCATAGCGTCCGTTCCCTCATTTCACAGATGGAGAAACCAAACCCATGGAGAACAAGTGACGTCAACAAGGTGGCCTGCTGTGACTCACAGAGGGACTGCTGGGCCCGGCCAGCCTGCCGTCTCGCCCCAGCCCCATGTGGGCCTGGGGGAGAGGGGCTTTCCCGGGGTCTTGCCCCCCCTGCAGAGGCCCCTGGACTCACATTCCCCTTGGAGCCCAGCTCTGCCTTGAGATCACGGTGGCCTTGGGCCCGCTCGGCTCCCCTGCCCCGCCCCCCGCACCCCCTCTGTCCCAGGTGCTTCCTCCGTCTTTCATCCTGGGCCAAGGCCAGGGAGGCAGGCAGGAACCACAAGATAGAACAGCCACTGGAACGGGGCCAAGACACATGGGTGGTGGGGGCCACCCACAGCTTTGGGCTTCAAGGCCAGGCTGTCTGGCACAGTTCCCTGTCTCCCGTGGCGATGGGGCTGCCTGCCAGAGGGTGGGCGCAGAGGTGGGGGGTGGCTCCCCATGCCCGGGGGCTCCATCCTGAGCACTTTCCTGACGGGGCCTCCTGGAATCCGCACTGCGATGCCGGGGTCTCTGGGATCCGTCCTGTTTGCAGACGGGGAAACCGAGGCAGCTCGCTCTCCCCCTCTGTCAGCCTCTTTGCTCGTCTGTACCAGGGAATGGGGAAGCCATGTCTCTTTAACTCCTGGACCAAAGCTCCTAAAACCATGCACTTCCGGTTTCCTATGAGTAACGACTTCATCACGATCATGTCGGTTATTCGCAGTGATGAGGATGACGATGATGATGGAGGTGCAGAGCACTTCTTAGGTTCCAGTTGCGGCTCATGTGTCTATTTCACGTTTCCCCTCACTATACCGTTATCTCTGAGGCGAAACCAAGTTACTTTGTTGCGCCCATTTTACACACGAGGAAACTGAGGCTCGGAGGGATTAAGGAACACGCTCAAGGTTTCCCAGCCAGCAAGAGTGGGATGAAAGCCAGGCAGCCTGGCTGCGGAGGCTGCGTTCTCGGCCTTTTATCTTGAAGGCCACCCTTCACCCGAGTCACGCACTTGATGGGGCTGCTTTTAATGGAACCCTCCCAAGGGGACACATGTTGCCACTTTGTAGGCCAGGGGCTGAGGTCAGACACCCACCAGGTCACCCAGCTGTTCAGAGGCAGGACTGGATTCACCCAGGGTGGGCTGGTCTCTGCCCTGCTCTTCCCGGCGCTGTGAGAGGCCCCTTTTAGGTCACATCAGAGTGTGGGAAGAAGGTGAACAGAGCAAATTCTACAAACCCTGGCTATCGGGCACGTGCGCTACGGTTTGCAAAGCGTGTTTGAACCCGCCAGCTCCTTCATCCTGCCCGCGGAGCCACCTGAATGTCTCTCTGGGCTTTGTGGACCCTGGAGGCCCTGGCCCAGCCCCCCTTTCCTGCCTGGCTCCCGTTGCTCACGTTCAGGGTCCCTGAGCTCCAGCCCAATCGGGCTACCAGCTGTTTCTCACACACTGGCTTAGAAAAGTATTTTCTTCCATCTCCCTTGGTACACATCCTCCTCACCCTTCAGAGTCTCGTTTCAATGCCGCCTCCAACAGGAAGCCTGCCCTGATTGCCCCTTCTGCAAGAGGAAGGGAGAAAGGTATGGGCATTTGTTGAATGCGTAATCCGTGGCAGGCATGTGGCATAACATCACAACACCCCGGGGATGTAGTTTATTCGTGTCCTGTTTTATAGTCAGAAACGGAGGAGAAATGACCTGCTGCAGGTCACACGGCTAGGAAGGACCAGGTTTTTGGACTCCTTGTCCAGTGCTCATTCTCCTGCTCCAATCAGGGGTCCTATGGCGCCGATGTAGGCTGGCCTTCCTCCTCGTGCCTTCTTTGTGGCTGATCCCTGAGGGAGGAGGCCACCTGCCCCTCTCCCTCCCAGCCAGTGGTGCGGACACCTCTCCACTGGGGCTTCAGCCAGGGCTGCCTTTTGTGCTTGCTGCTCCCCTGCTGAGTCGGGGCCTCGGGTCCCGGAGGCCCTCTCCCCTCCCTGCCGATAAGAGCCCGACCTCGGCTGGTCCCAGGCCGAGGGTCCGTCTTGGTAAGTCCCAGGCCCGGAGAAGGAGTGGCGTTCGAGCTCTGAGTGAGTGTCCTGGGAGGAAGGGGAACCCAGGCCCCCAATCCTGGAGACATCACTGCGCCATCCTGCGTGTCTTTCTCCTCCTAACCCCGGCCGGGCCCCAGGCATCAAGCCTAGTACCTGCTCCCCTCGCTGGAAACAAAATTATTCCCAGAGTCCTTGCTTCAGCGTCCACCGTTCGAGTCACCTGTGGGTCAAAGTGCTGTCTTAGGGAGGCTCTTGTAAGCTGGGCACCTTGGCATTTGCCAGGGGGATGCATTCACCCCCAGCCAGCCACAGAAATCTCCCATGGCCAGCAGATAAAACTGCAAAGAATGGGGTTCAGAGGCGATGGGACCCAGAGAGGGTCGGGGAGGCTTTGAGCTGATGATAGGGAGGAAGCACAGGAGAAGGGATTGGCCTCAGAAAGGGAAGGAGAGGGCGGGGCCAAAGCTGCCCTTTGCCCCCAGCACAGGCACATCTGGACCCCTCTGGATCCCCATCTGGCTCCATCTCCACATCGTTGTCAAGGAGACAGCAGAGTTGGGGCCGGAGTTGTTGTGTTCTTCTCTTGGGCAGGAAAAGGGCAACATGACCCTGCAATGCACCCAGCCCGCGGGGCCCTGGAAGGTAGGAAGAGGCATGGGGGTGTCTGGGAAGTGGGGGTGCAGGTCCAGGAGAACCCCCATCCCTACCTCCATTGAATTTCCACTTCGCCCCGTACCGGGGGGAGCGGTGTTGTGAGGGCCCATGTCACAGCGGATGGAACCGACGCTCAAAGAGGAGAAGGGACTTGGTCAAGGTCACACACAGGGCCTTGAACTGAACTGGGGTCTTCCGGTCCCCGAATTTAACCACGACACTCCCCGGCAGAGATGGCACGCTGGTGATTGCACAGTCTTCGGCATGATTTCTTTGACCTCCCTGTGTTTTGTTTTTTTAAACCGAACCTTTACATTTGCCGTCTGCTTTTAAAATTTTGGAGGGTCCATGGAGAAGTCCCGATTTAGTGATTGCCTTCAGAGATGGGAAAGTCGGCCTGCATTCCCAGGTAGCAACAATAGGAGGCGCTGTGCAGAGGCCAAGCATTTACACGGGGCCTTTGCCCGCCTTCCCTGCCTGGCACCTGGAGAGGCATCTGAGTTTGCAATCCCCGCTCTCTCTGTCCCGCCCCATCGTGAGTCCTGGGCGGGGGAGCCCCTAACCCTTCACCCCTTCACCCCCACGGGCTCCACCTTTTCTCTCTGCCGCAGATTGTGGTGTGGGACCAGGAGGGCTTCCAGGGCCGGTGGCAGGAGTTGGCTGCCCAGTGCCCCAGCGTGCGGTCTCTCAAAGTGCTGAGTGGAGCGTGAGTTGGGAAGGGGATGGGCTCTGAGCCAGGGAGAGGGAGGCAGGAGGGGATCGAGCGAGGGGGGCTGGGACTTTTAGAGGTTTCAGGCCCTATGTCCCCAGGCCCTAACTTCCCAATGGGGCTGACATGCTGGGGTAGGTTGAGTACCGCCCAGATGTAGGGGCTGACCTTGAGCATGGAGCGCAGGGACTGAAAAACCCCTCTTAGGCATAAATCTACAAGCAACATCATTTGTCCCAAATGGAAGGTAACTATAAAAACATAGTAAAAAAAAATGCTGTTAATCTTTAGCAAAACATTGTTGCTTGACTGCGGCTGGGAGCATGAGCGATGTGTCTGTTTTTTCTAAAGAGAGATTGACGAGATGTACAAAGGCGTTAAGGACACCCCGATACCGCCACGATGAGCCTGTTCAGACCAGCACCGTCCAGTGGGACGTGCTGTCGTGATCAAAACAGCAGACATCTGCAGCCGGTTTGGGAACCACGGGCCGCATGTGGCTGTGGAGGGCTGGGGATGAAGCTACCGGCATCAAAGACCTGAAGCTTTGATTTGGCGAAATGTGTGTTTCATTGGCAACATGTGGTCAGAAGTTTCTAGAAGGCTGGGAAGTAGATGGAAAGGAGTCATTTCATGCTGTGCCTGGGAGTGCCACCGAAGGCCGCCCTGAGTGGCATTTTTGCATCGCACACCACGGTAAACACTTTCAGTCGAACATTCTGCTCCGTGCAGGTGGGGGCGTGGGGCTCAGACGGGAGCAGGGACCTGGGCAGGGATATGGCCAGCAGGCCAACAGATGGGGCCGGCGAGAAGGCAACAGGCTCGGGTGGACTCCGGCAATGGATCCCTTACTTCCACAGCCAGGGCGCGGCCAGCGTGGTGTCAGCCTCCTGGGCCCCTCGTCCCATAGGACGACGCCAAAAACAACGGGCCCTATGCACACACCCTCCACTCCTCCTCCTGGGATCACCACTAAAAATGCCTCCTGACTTTGCTGAATGCCTCTCGGGGGCAGAGTCCCCCCTGCAGGACAACCCTGGGTCTAGAACTCCGGGGCGGGGGCTCTGAGCTCTTGCGCTCTGTCTGTCCGCAGGTGGGTGGGCTTTGAGTGCCCCGGCTTCCAAGGGCAGCAGCACGTGCTGGAGCGGGGCGAGTACCCCTGTCGGGGCGCCTGGAGCGGCAACACGGCCTACCCCTCAGAGAGGCTCACCTGTGAGTCCTGCTCCCCCTCCTCCCAGGGGGCCCCCTCCGAACTCCTCCCGTGGGGGCTGGGGAACCTTGGGAACCGGATGTCCCAGAGTTCAGTGTCTCAGGTCCCTTCTTCAAACTGTGGGACTTGGCAGTGCCTCCCCTCTCTGAGCCTCGTGTGTTTTTTTTTCATCTTGCAACGGGGCCCTAGGACTTCTGTTGTGGGAGGAGGAATGTTCAGCATCTGGCCAGAAGCTGCCACAAACATTCCATCCATGGCCGCTTTGTTTATGACCTGAGTCTTCTTCTTCTTCTTCTTTTTTTTAAATATGTTTTTTTGATTTTTTAACAGAGAGGAAGGGAGAGGGATAGAGAGAAACATCGATCAGCTGCCTCCTGCACACCCCCGACTGGGGATGTGCCCGAAACCAAGGTACATGCCCTTGACCGGAATCGAACCTGGGACCCTTCAGTCTGCAGGCTGACACTCTAGCCACTGAGCCAAACCGGTCGGGGTGACCTGAGTCTTCTTCTTAGGACTCAGAGATGCTGGGACGAGCCGGGTGGGGAGATGGCAGGGCCAGGTTGGGAGGACGGGCCTGGTTTCCTCCTCCTGGTTTTCTGTTTTTCCTGCTGGTTATGGGGTATGGGTGCAGGTGGCCATTATTGCCCCCATTTTCCAGATGAACAAAAAGGAGGCTCTGAAAGGTGTAATTGTTTTGTTCTTCAAAAGCAACTTTTATCGATTACAATCACACAAGCCACACCTATTTATCATCTCTAATTCAGGGAAAACCCTGAGATGGCGGGATAAGAAAATCAAAATCACTCATACCCATACTCTGGGGTAGACGCCCACAGTGTACAGTGCTCGGTGCTTCACTCCCTATATCTGTATATCTACCCACACGTAGCATTTTGTTATAAAAACTGAGTCATAACAAACCAAAGGCTGGGAAACCAGCTTTTCTCACTGGGCAGATATAGCACAGGGATCCTCCCGGGTGATTCGATCTAATTTATAACATCCTGTCCCATGGCGCCCTAGGATTCTATTTTGCAAAGAGGATCATTTGTCCATTCATTCCGCGAACGGCCCAGGCCTTGTGTCACGACAGGGACCCACGAGGACTCTGGCAGATGCAAACCCGCTTTCACACAGTATACAACTTTGGGTCTCATTTACGCCCCAGAAACAACCCTGAAAAGCAGATGTGGTTAGTTTCTGTTTATAGGTTTGGAAACGGGCTCAGAAATGCTGTGTGAAAGCTCGGTCAGTGGGTAAGCGGGGAGCAGGATTTGAACCCAGACCTCGGCAAGTCACAGCCCAACACGCCAGTTTAGCTCCTAGCCCCTATTGTTGGATATTCAAGTTATCTTCTCTTTTTTTCTTTCTCCTCCCTCCCTC